TATTTTATATAAAGTATTAGTTATTTAATGATATAATAACAATAGTTAAATCTATAATATTTAAATTAAAAATTATTAATATTAATATATATTTTTAAAAATTATTTTATAACCTCAATTTCAAAAACATTATTAACCAAACGCATTAAATAACTTTTTATTCAACCTTAATTTTAAACAGTTTTAACCAAATATATATAAATATCAAAGCAACTTCAATTAAAAGTATTTTTTATAAAATAATTTTTTTCAAATTATAATCATAACAGTTACCACAATACCAAACATATTAATGCTTTTGGATCGTAGGAACATGTTAAATTTTTCAGTTTCTATTTTTACCTTGGCATTGCTATTCGTACATTGGTTTGGGTAAAGTATTATGAAAATTAAGAGAATTGCTTGTTTAGGTCAATCCTCCTAGAGAACATAATAATCTTAGTTTTCATTTTGTTTTGGGAAAATCAATATGAGTATTTCACTTTTCAACCTAAAATTTGAAGAATGGTCATTCTTTACATTTTTAGAAGTTAGTGTAAAAAAATCAACTAAAAATATATATTTATTTGCAAGAATATCACTATTTTTGAAATAATAACTCAAAAAGCCTTGAACCTTTAAAATAATAAAATACCACTAAAAAATTAAAACAAAAAAGATAAATAAAAACAAAAAAATAAAATAAAATAAAAACATTCATTTTCTTTGATCTTTCCTCACCGTGAACCACTATCTTCACAACATCTCTTCCTTTCTTATATATATATATATATATTTACCATCACAAGATGCCTGTTGTAACTTTTATCCTTCAACATACAGACTATACCGTCACAATAAACACATAGTCATATCCAATAGAATAATTGCCAAATGGGATAAAATGAATTCTCAAAGGTTATTTCCCTCCTTTGGTTTTAGGGAATCGAAATGAGAAATTTTTGTGCTTGATTTTTAAAATTCAAATTAGGAAGTAAAAGATGGAGCCTTAAGACACTATTTAAGATTATAATAGAAATTATTTTTTAAAGTATTTTTTATTTAAAAATATAATAAAAAATTTATTTTTTAGAATTTATTTTCGGTATTAACATATTAAAGCGATCCAAAAATAATAAAAATTAACTTGAGATAAACAAAATTAAAATTCTTTAAAAACATGATTGGACCGTCAAAAATAAATACCATATTAATTCCATCAAATCCATTTTGAAGCAGCCCTCTCTCATATTACTAGTCTCTCTTTTCTTAAAAATATTTTCTAACCCAAAACAGAGCCAATTTAACTTAGCTTGTTGGTGATGCACGGAGCACACTCCAAAATCCTTGTATATGTCGGCCAAAATAAGCCGTTCGAAGCAGTCGGTTCTTCTCCACCTGCGTCAAGGTAAAATAGTTTAGGAAATTAAATATATTTTTTAGTAATTTTATTTTTTTTATTTTGTTTAAAACTTTAATTGCCTTTTTTTTATTTTCAAACTTTTTAGTTTGTTTACGTTGTTGTTTTTTAGGTTTTTTAATGAATAATAAAAAACTTGTAAGGATTACGGACACCACCTATCTCCACATTGGTATGATATTGTCCACTTTGGGCCTAAACCCTCATGGATTTGCTCTTGGATTATACCCAAAATGCCTCATACCAATGAAGATATTTGTTCATCCTTATATACCCTTTTGATCCTTCCCATTTCTAACCAATGTGGGACTTTGGTCGCATACCCAACAAAACTTATGTATAAAATTTTAAGTTTTCTTCTTTTCTTTTTCAAACTTTTTAGAGAATAATAAAATTTCAAAATTAGATCTTGGTGTCTTGACTTTCAACGTAATTATGTATTTTTTTTTTAGATTAGCGTGGGTGTCCGGGCCAGTTTGCGCGCACCACGACTAATCCACGGGCCCTGAAGTTAACGACCATGTAAGCCTCCAGTGGCCATCATATGAGCAACCAAGGACTCGAATCTGAAATCACAGAAGGAACAAACCCCTTAGTCTTAAATTTTTATTACTTGGTCACCACCTAGATAGTTTGATGTAATTATGTATTATTTGTGCATGTTGTTGCGTCAATTTACCACCGCTTTATTCCAACAATTATTTTAACCAACAACTGGTATAATCAGCATTAGAGGCACAACTATAAGCACGTTTAGATCTCAATCAGGGAGTTGGAGCTTGGAATCATCACTGTGGGAGCTTCAACAAAGATGGCATGGAATGTGGGCTTTATGGTTTAAGACCTTTAGTGCTTTAAGATCCTGCGACTCGACTCGGGATAGAGGATCCATTTTATTTAGAATCCATGTTATATAAAGGAGGCTGTACCAATGGATATCACCGGACAATCCTGTGATGTATTATTTTTCGTGATGTGTATGAGAAAAAACTCAAAGAGTATAAAATCTAGTATGGATAATATTTGATGATGGCAAGAACTCCAGGTGTTTCTTTGAGTTGGCTCGAGAACTTTCAAGACTTATCTCCATACTTCCCTTCTCTCTATATATGGCAATCTCCATGGCCTCAGTTCTCTATCCATGGCTTCAAAAATCAAGAAAAGCAAAGTGTAGTGTAGTGTAGTGTGTACTGCAACTTTCACTAGCACCTCTCCTTTGTTTAAAACTTGGTGCATATATATTTTTTTTTATCTACTTATGGCTTCGTCAACATTGTCTTCGTCATCTGCCCCTTTGTTGTCACACAATTGCAAAGCTGTGCCTTCGACCAAGGCAAATAGCTCCTTGCTCAGTGTCTTTTCCATCAAGGGGTTTTGGCAAGAATACTAGTAAGCCTTCAAGGTTGGCTTTGTTTGAGAGCTGAAGCTGCTGGAGAACTCAAGGACACTGCATGTCTATAAGCAGGGAAACAACCGAGGGACAGCTGTTGAAAGAAGGCCTCGAAGGCTGGTTGTTGATGTCTCACCTTTCGGTGAGCAGTCTGATTGCTTCTTCTCCTTGTTTTTTTCTTAGGGTCAGGTATCTTCAGGCTAACGTCAACCAAGTCTTCTTCCTGGCGATGTTAAAGTCTTATATCCGATGCTTCCCTTGTTGAAGACTCTGTAGTTTTCTTTAATAGGGAAAAGTCATTCTTCTTCAATAAAAATGGCAAAATCGATCTCTGCAATGATTTAAGATTTTTTACATTAATTATAGTTTTGTTGGATCCATTGTCACCAACGAGGACAATGCGATGCAATGACAATTCCTAGCATCAGGAACAGGACAGGAGGGGAGGTTCAAGCACCATGGGAAATCAAAGATGAGAAACAAGAGATCAAGATGAGGTTTGACATGCCAGGACTGTCTAAGGAGGATGTCAAGCTCTCGATCGAGGATGATGTGCTTGTTATTAAAGGAGAGAACAAAAGGGAAGAAACTGGTGCTGATTCATGGTCTGGTAGCAATATCAGTTCTTGCGAAAAGGATAAGATTATGGCTGAGCTGAAAAATGGAGTTCTGTTCGTTAACATTCCTTAGACCAAATTACAACGTAAGGTCATTGATGTGCACATCCAGTAAGAGATTTTATAAGAAGTTTGTACCATGTATGGTGTGTTTTTTTTTTTTTTTTTGTATTTGAAAATGTGATTTTCAGGATCTTTCCTATCTCTATTCCTGCCTATCTTGCTTCAACTACTCTCTTCGCCTTAGATATCCAATTTCGACATTGGACACAGATGTGGAATCGTGTTGCACATGCACCAGTGTAAGGTACAAGTCCCCAAACTCCGAGCCACGGATTCTTGTTGTGCAGAAGAATATAGATGTTTGTGTTCAAGAACAAGTATGTAACATTTGATCATCTCTTTTGTTCAAGTTCATGAACATTTCAAAGAAATTAAAAAGGAATCGTTCATATCAAGTTAAACCGAAGCAGGATGTGGCGAGCAGTTTCCCCCTCTGGCATTCCCCTGCATCTTTTGGACGTTGCCTACCCTATAGTCTAGTATATGAAGATTTGAGCCGCCAACTTGCTAGATTGGCTTTAGCAAAATGGACAGTAATGCAATTCTTCTCTTCAAAAGTCTTCTCTTATCGCTTACTTTGGAAGAAGGCAACCCACAACTTGGTGATTCATGTTCAAATTTTCTCTTAGAAGTTTGTCTCATTTTCGACCAACTTCAATATTGTCCTATTGTAACTATCAATACAGGACCTTGTTCCTTCCGCTTAACATTTGAACTGGCATTTAGTACCTTGTTGACCTGAGGCCTGCTCGCGAGCACCCCGGCAATTGGTGTCCATCGCGCTCAGTGCGTGGTCCTACTCAGAGGCGCATCATTGACACCAATTTTCCAGACGTGCATGACCGCTGTTAGTATTTCCCTACCTTGCCATCCTAGGCAAGAGAAAGAAGAAAGAAATTCCTTTGAAATTTTTCATGGAAAGAATATAAAAATGGAAAGGGGGGCTGTGGACGATGGACTAGATGAGCCTGTATTGTCTCAGGTAGTAAACTAGCAGTCAAAAAATAGCAGAAATATATCAGAGAATCATCTTCTGTGCAATTGGTGTCCATCGCGCTCAGTGCGTGGTCCTACTCAGAGGCGCATCATTGACACCAATTTTCCAGACGTGCATGACCGCTGTTAGTATTTCCCTACCTTGCCATCCTAGGCAAGAGAAAGAAGAAAGAAATTCCTTTCAAATTTTTCATGGAAAGAATATAAAAATGGAAAGGGGGGCTGTGGACGATGGACTAGATGAGCCTGTATTGTCTCAGGTAGTAAACTAGCAGTCAAAAAATAGCAGAAATATATCAGAGAATCATCTTCTGTTTTCTGTTTCAAGAAATCAAGCCGGTAAGAACACGTTGAGAACAGAATAGATGAAAATCTTTCAATGTTCTGTAGCAGACAATTCTTTTTATATTCCTTTAATTTTTTTTCTTTTTACTTGTTCTCCATCTTTGGCTAATCAGTACATCTACATGATAAATTCATTTTCAGCTACACAAGAGAGAATTCAGTACCTAAATTGTACATTTCCAAAGCTATACTACTCAAATCCTTCAGGGATTGATTCCAGCTTTGGCTTCCAATTTCTTGGAGAGTCGAGAGAAGAACTTTTCTTCTCTAGCCCTAACAGAACCTCCTCAAGAGATATTTCCTTTTTCAAAAGCTGCTGAAGTTGTTGCTTTGTTATTACAACTTTAATCCTCTTGACACCACCACTACTTGCTTCTTCTTCCCTGTCAACCACCGGTGAAGTCCCTGGAGGTGGTGGAAGAACATGGTAAACATTTCCAAGCTTTAACTCGTAACTTGGTGGCAGATGCTCTATAGCTTCATTTGTTAGACCAATACCTGAGCCAGGAAAGTTGACCGCGATATCTTTCACAAGAATCGGAGCGCTGAATTCCAGAACCTTTCCATCTGTTTTGACAACATGCAACACTTTCTCACGCTTGGCTCGAGGGAATCCGATGCAAGAACCTATAAAGGGAGGTCTAACACAATTATGACCTAAGCAATTGCCCATTTTTCTCCAAGAAAATATAACCATGAAGGTCTTAAGAAGTCTTACAAGAGGAGAAGAGGGATTTCTCTACCTTGTTGTTGTATAGAATGAAGAGGGAGAAAAGGAGTTACAAGATATATTTATACTTAAGAAATGAAAGAGTCTTTCTTGTGCTAGAGTTACTATACTAGTGGAGGGTAGAAAGCTATCTTTCTTTCTGTTTAAAAGTTAAACGGAAAAACTGAATTTAGAAAGCTAAAGGAGGAGCAACGAGATATTAAATTTTGTTTAGAAAGCAAAAGATAAATAAAATTTGTCAACACGCATGCAAGATAGGTCGGTTAGTGGAAGGTAGCATAATAGTATTGCTCTCCTTGTACCATGCCATTGTAGAGGACTAAAGTAAGAGGGGGGGGGGGGGGGGGGGGGGGGGGAAGACAACAAAA